AGTCCTACTGGTTCAATGTGGCACACTGCGTGAGGAGGGAAGAAACTTCACCTGTACCACACTTGTGTTCTGCAGGTCACTCTGAGACAAGACAATGGACTGTTCTGTTACAGGTGGAGTCTGAGCAAAACTGAATCCATTACCCAGGAGTCATCATGTGAACCATCCAGAGGTCTTTGCTCGCAGCTGCAGGTTCTGTGATGATGCCACGGCTAACTGAGTGTGCTGCTATCAGGAGGACGGCGGTGTAGCTGATGTAATCTCAGCATCGTCCTGCCTTCAGTTGATGGTTTAATGGTGCATTACTACTCACTGGCAGTCCAGTATTCTTTATTTAGCCTTGGCCCCCCCTTTTCCCTGACATGGCCAGAGGCTCCACAGGCAGTTTCATAAGACAGAGTACATCGTCCTGCTGCAGCCCGTACTGAGAACACAACAAAATGATGCTACGCTAACCACAGTGCAGCCGTCACCAGCCGCTTTTGCCTGTTCTTCTGTCAGCCTAGGAAGCATGTTGGCAATTTGCAATTCCCCCTGCTTTGTTAGTAAAAAGATGAAGGACCATTAACTGTAAGTAAAATTACAACAGAATAAATTGAAATAATCTGACTTCACCTCAGTTTCACTAAACTAATCCTAAATAAGTTTTTTTTTTTTCATTTCTCCCTGAAGAGCTTTTGAAAGTTAAAGGACACCTTGACCTAGGCTCTTGAGGAGGAGTAGGGGGGGCGTCTTTGACCCTTTTCCCCTGCCGAGACTCTCCTAAAGCCCTATTATTCAGAGTCACCTTTGGGCCTCTTTTCCTGCTAATCAAACACTACCCTCATGGAGTCTCACAAACACCCCTCTTACTTCCTTTCCCCTACAAGATGTCAACACTAAACACCACTGATGTCTGGATTATAATCCTAAAAATCCTTGAGGGTTGTCTCTGGGTGGGTGTGGCGGGGGATGGGGGGGGGGGGGGGGGGGGTGGGTATTGCCTCATCTGTTGCTGGCTGTAATTGATTTGGGCGTTAATCTGGTGGTCTGAGACTCGGAGCTGGGCTAATATGTGAGGGGACGGGAGAGAGTCCAGCTCTGCCCGGGGGCTGTTGACAGTCGCAGGAAGGATTGGAGAAGATTAAAAGAGATTTCTGAGCATCCTGCTCAAAAGAAACTCAGCTCAACTGTTTGTCTGCTTTTCTCATGAAACTACAACACAGGGGTCTCAGGGAAGCCCTCTATGTAAATTCAGATCGGCTGTGGGGTCGAGGGGGCTTTTGGAGGTCCTGTAAGGGCTCTCAGGAGTCCCTGAGGAGGCTCTGGATACCCCTCAGGGGGTTCAAATACTGATTTACTGATTTTAGCGATAATTCTTAGCCGCAGGAAACAGGACCGTACAAGCTTAGTGATTTCATGGTTGAAGGTCATGTTGGTCATTTCAAGAATGTTAGTATCAAGGTGTGCTGCATGATGCATTTTAATGAGAAGCAACTATAATCAGAGAGCGTGGGTTTGAATTCTGATTTGAGCTCTTTGCATTGAAACACATAACTCACACCAATGATTGTTGTTTTTTTTAACCTGAGAGTAAATGTTAAAAAAATATAAATCAATTGACTTACACCAGAAAGTGATCCTCAAGTACAGCAAAGTCTCAGTATTCATATTAGAAACACTCCACTAGTATGCAACTGAAATGTAGCCACACATTCATGAGATCCAATGTAATGGACAGGTTTTTCTCCAAACCTAAAACCAATACTTGGACGTTTAAATAAGACATGTTTCATTAGTTGCTACTTGATGTTAAAAAAATCTGCTGGGTCCTGTAGAGGAGCAGGATTGCTGAGGTGTACCTGAACTGCACCACATGTCTGATCTTCTGTCAGTTACCTTGATTTTGAAGAAATCTTTGGTACACTTGGGCCAGTAGGTGGCAGTGTTTGGGATGACTTGCTAAAGTGAAGCGTCTGATGAGAAACCATTCAATCTAACCCTGTGCATTAAGTAGACAAAGTCCTTTGAATGTTCGTCCACTGCAGTGACCAGTATGTGTGTAAGAGATGAAATTGCTGTTTGTCAACAGAGTTGATTGGAGTCTGTAGTCTAACTGATTTTTCTTTTACTTTTGAATGGTCAAATGGTAAATGGCTTTCTGAGATTTTAGTCTTCTGACTACTCAAAGCACTTTTTACACCACATGTCACACCTACTCATTCACACTCATCACACTCTGATGAGCACCTTGGTTCAGTTTCTTGCTTGAGAGCTGGAGATCGAACCCTCGACTTCCTGGTTGAGTGACGACCACCTCAACCACTGATCCACAGGTCCCTAGAGAGGATGTGTTGCTGGTTTATTCTGGTTTATTCAGGGGTATGAGAATGATGCTCCAGTCTATTCTTTCCCCCTTACACAGTCTGTGAAAGAAAGATCATTCATGTGTTTAACTTTACATTTGTGTTGGAAGAAAACACCAGGGGCCTTGACAGGATTTCTGGGCCCCATGGACAAGATATTATATTGGGCCCCTCCACCACAGCCTCAGTCAACCTTTTAATAAAAAGGGAGATAAAAAAAAACACATCTATTATATCAGAAAGGTGCGTGAGAGAATAAAGCGTCCATCAAAATGATTGAACAAATTGTTATTTCGACACAAACAGGTGTGTGGATGGTTATGTGTAAGGACTCCTACATTGTTGCTGATGACATCTGAATTTCATTTTCATTTCACTTAATGATATTTTGTTGTTTTTATTTGAAATTGAACTAATGATTTGTACTTATACTTAGAATAATGGGTCAAATTTACAGTTTTAAATTATTTCAAAATTGTAATTTTTCTTTTTTTAGGACATTTCACGCCCCCCCTCTTGGTGTCTCCTGACATGGTATCATTACTTTATAGCTTAGTGTTACACCCTTTAAAAGGTTGCACCTCATGTACAGAGGCTACAGTCCTCCAAGCGGGGAGCTTTGGACCTGTGGCTCTTTTGCAGCATGTCATTCCCCACTCTCTCTCTCTGCCTGTTTTCTGACTCTTTTCACTATCCTGCCTAACCCCCCCCCCCCCACACACACACACACACACACACACACACACACACACACACACACACACACACACACACACACACACACACGTGTTTGTGCAGAAAAAGTGAAATGAAATATTTATTCTTTCTCATTTCATAAATTGTCTCTATAATTAAACTATTATTAAACTAAAGTCTAATTTCGAAATTCTGAATAAAAATAAAACTAGCAAATTGAATCCTACATCGCTCATAGATAACAAGACTGACATAAAGTAACGATGAACGCAGGGAGAGGTGAACAGGCAGTGTGATGAAGTTTGTGTCTCTGATGTAAGGGTCCCCCTAGAGGACAATCTACAACCCTGCTTCAGATGTAGATTATTAAATCCTAAATGCAATACTGCCACCATGTGGTGACAGGACAAAACACAGTCAGATGCAGGATGCCTGCTGATGGCTGCATCATGTACAGCCACTGATCCTCACCTCAGATGGAGAAGACTTTCTGTTTCCTGCAGTTTTCATTCAAAATAATCATTCAAGAGCGAGAGAGAGAGAGAGGAGTAATACTGTATCCACCTGACGGACTTATTGTGGTCACAGCTTTGGTGAAGTCATTTCATGTAAGTCAAATAGATGTAAACCTCCTTTTCAATAAAAAAATAGAAATATTTAGATTATGGACTGAACCCTGCTGAACCCTGTGGTTCAGTTGGTAGAGACGGTCATCTGTCTACCAGAAGGTTGGGGGTTCGAGCCCCAGCTTCTGAAGCCACATGTCCGATGAGTCGTTGGGCAAAGCACTTAACCCCAAATTTCTCCCACTGATTCGTCAGCGGTGTATGAATAGTATGTTACTTCTGTAAGTCCATTTACCAGCATCTGGGAATTACCAGGCCAAGTTAAACTGACAACTCAATGTTACTTTCACCACTTTTTTAAACCAATATTGCATTAAACAACGAGAGCTTTGGCGTTGTTATTTAAAACAGTGATTTGTTTGGGGGGGGGGGTACAGAATAGAATAGGTATATAATAGAACAAGTCATGCTGGGGTTCCTCCAAGTTCTTCTTAACAAGATTGTCACAAAACATGTTCCACCCTTGTTTTGCTATATGGTATTAACATGTAAATGAAGGCTTGCAGCGCCCTCTGCTGGACGGTTGGTGCAAATACACAAATATTACTGGGATCTGTCTTATCAAGTAGATAAGATTACAATAGATGGTTCTCATACACGTCCTCAGGTATTCAAAGATACATATTTTGTGCCTCATTATGTTTGTGCATATATTTCCTTGAATTCTTATTTTCAGAGCTTTTTCTGTTATTTTTAACTTTCTCTCAGTTACATTTTTTTTTGATTTAGCAGATTATTCTCATGAGACAGGTTGCAAGGAGGGAGAGGAGTGGCTCCGGCTCCCAGTGTCTTACCTGCCATTTGTATTTATCTGCAACGATCTTCTGACAAATCTGCATCGAGCGAACTGATTGTGAAGAGTGTTTAGTAATCTTGGAGCACACAGTAGGAAGAAATGATGACAGTGTCCAATGTCATGCATGAAGAATACTTTCTGCCTGGTAACAACTCATGAATGTGTCCAGAAACATTGACTTTCTCTGCTTTGGTTGCATTGTTGTGTTAGCATGCTAATGTTAGCACACACATAACTCATTGACACAGAATGACCGTGATCTAAAGACACTTATATTACATCAAAATAAGCAGTGAGCATGTTATTCTTCTTTTTCTCTAGTCCTTGACTAAAACAGCTTTATGCACAAGGCCGTCCCGTCCATGTAAACACGGCTCTGACAACAACACAGCTGGAGGGACTCGAGCTTCTCACTCATTGTAGACAGTCATGACTCAGAGACACGGAGGATAGACTGGATTTCTGCTGTATTAATGTGCACATTCTTCCTTTAAGACGAATCCAACCCCATGAAAAGTGAGTCCATGAGTCTTTGAAGAAGAGTCGATAGTTAATTTTATTATGGGCTCATCAATAGTTATGGACATATAATCATCTCTTTACAATACAACAGAAGATCAGAAGAGCATGACAGACCACTTCAACAGAATCTCATATTAAAAAAGCAATAAATAAGACCATAAATAAACCAAGTACAGGTTTTCAAATCAGATATAGATTTATAAGCACTAATATTGTGTCTGCATGCGTCATGAAACACCCTCAACCGTTGTCTGTACAAATACAAGATCTGCTGTAGGTTATATGAGGAGGGTAAATCTACAGAATGACTCTATGAGGCTACTCGACCGTACTGAGGAAAGGCCCGACATAGAAAACAAGGAAGCACTTTAAAGAGACCTCACAGACACACACACACACACACACACACACACACACACACGCACACGCACGCACGCACACACACACACGCACACACAGACCCTTACAAACACACACACATACAGAGGCATACACAGCGCATCTTCCATTATGATTATATTTACATATGATATGCATACATACTGTATAACACTAAACTTTCACACACACTCACACAGCTTGAGTAACAGACTCACGTCTGGGACACCCTGATTTTAAAGACCATGTTTTCTTTCATCACATCCTGAGAACAAATAAACAAATAAATAAATCAATCAATCAAAAGCCACAGGCAGCTGAAGCACGCCATTGGTTGGATTCTAACGTTTTATCAGCACGATCCCATCCAATCCTCTACGTAAGACCAGAACTGCAAATTCAAAACATTAATCATGAAACAAAATGTGTGATATCCCATCAGTTTGTGCATCACATGTGACTAAATCTAAATGTGATGTCTCTGAAGGCCGTAGTGCAATGAAACAGTGCAAACCTCTCATAGAGGCCACGTCCGTCTGCCTCAAACGGAACGGGCGGGGGTTACTTAGGTAACCTGCTGCATTGTGTCTTTGACCTTCTTTATTTCCAGATTGTCTTTAAAATGTTTTTCATAATTTGAGCGTGTTTTAAGGAGGAGTACCGAACTAGTCTTTGACTGATCAAACTGTGCTGTTATTTATAAAGGTCACATAAGATTACATAAAACTTTATTCATCCCAGAGAAAACGATGCTTATTAGAATTTATTTCATTCCTACATAAAAAAACAAGCATTAGTGGTGCAGTGGCCAGTGTGTGCACCCCATGTATGGAGGCTTTAGTCCACCAAGCAGGCGGCCCAGGTTCAAATCCGACCTTTGGCTCCTTTCCTGCATGTCATTCCCAACTCTCTCGCTCTCCCCCATTTCTGACTCTAGCTACTGTGCTATCTCTCCAATCACTGCACAAAAAGCCCCCCAAAAAGCATGAATAAAAACATTAATTAACAAAAAAGTATAAAAAAAGGAATTAAAGAAGAACGCAGAAAGCTTTCGAGCAACTCCAGCAAGCTGCTGCCAGACGGGAATTTCAAATGTTGTTAATAAGGTAAATATAAAGCAGAACTTTGCAAACTTCAGTCTAGTTTAAAATTACATTTTGATATCCTAGTTTCTGCAAAACGAAAGTATCTCTTTTGATTTGATCACAGTCATGTTAACCTTTGGAGCCCATGACGATTATAAATCAGACAAGTACTTTTAATTCCTTTAATGGTTTTCGCAACGATTTCAGTCTTGACCTTTTTAAAAAATGCATCCTAGATTTAGCCACAGATGTGCAAACCACAAGTTTTCCAGCCACAAAGTCTGGGAGACAATTTGTATTGCCAACACGAAGGCTGGGGGATCAAATGCCTGACAAAAAAAAACAAAAAAAAACCTCTCAATATGTTCATATGAGAAGTAATGATCCCTCTTACCATCCTGTTCCCTCATGTTGTTGTGCTATTTCTGCTCTCCTGTTCACACACGCTAAACACACACACACACACGCACACACAAAGCCTGCTACTAAAACACTAAAGAAATGATTCAGTAAATGAGTACACAAAACCTCGCAGGATCTGTATGGCCCTTTCCTCTGGATAAAAAGGATAGTTCACATTAAATATGGCTCACTGTCATCGTCACTGTCATCGTTATATGAACACAGAGGTAATCAGCTCCTGTACAAAATACCCCCCCACCCCCGCCCAAACACACACACGCACACACACACACTCACACACACACACCCACAACTAGTCTTTACAAAAGAGGAAAATAAATACAGAACACTTTCATCATCATCATCGTAGTAGTAGAAGAGTTTGTATAATCCTGTGACCGTGTTTCCTTTAGATAGTTGCTCTGCAGAAATAAATGGCAGTTATAGAGGTCGTCACAATAACTGTTAATGGCATACGTCGTAGCTGGAGTATAAACATCACATGTAAACAACATGAAGTTCTGTTTGAAGAAAAATCATCCCGAGATGTTTCCTCTGTCAGCGTCTGTCTGGTCCAGCTTTGGGTTCCAGCTGTGGAGGATGTTGTGATCTTAAACGTCTCGTTTGTGGCACTTTTTTTTTTTTTTTAGCTCTCCGCTTAGTGACGGACAGCGGCGGCTCCTCATTGGTGGGGTGAATGTTTGTTCACCTCTGCTGTCATGTTGAGTTATGTGTCCGTACATAAAGCACTTTGGTACATCTCTGTACCGGACGCAATGATTGGTTCTTAGATTTGATATTTCATGTAGCTCACCCCCTTTCGTTCTTACATTGGCATGCGCTAAGAAATCAAATGGAACCCTTTGACTACAGCAGAGTGGAAACTTTCCACATTGAGTAGCCAATGGTTATCTATGTCAGGGGGCTGCAATTGAAGACTGATCACATCGCATGTGTCGTGCCGATACTAGTTATGTAAGCTAGTGCAGGTTCCACTGCCGAGGTTGCTAGGCGACAGACACTTGAGAGACTCTGGGTACCGAAAAAGTTGACCAATGTACTTGTGCAGTTTCTCTCTCTCTCTCTCTTTTGCTTGCGACAGCTTTTGGTTAAAGTATGACTGAAAATCTGAAGAGTTCTCAGAGCTTTGGCACTTTTTGATATCATCCATCGTTAAAAGAACAGAGGTTGCATCTTTTCAAAACACGTGGCCAACACAGCCGACTCTTTCCTTTAAGAGTGGAGTCTAAAATAGAAGATCAGAGATGTGATCAACGCACACCGAGAGGAGGACTTTCCTCTGCTTTTCTTACAGAGCTGTTGGTTAACTGGTCTCATTAATAAGTCTGTGAAGGGAATAGTCAGAACTCATGGAAAACTGTTTTTTTTTTCTCTCTCATGGAGTTTTTTCAGTTAAAAATCTCCGTAAACAAGTATCAAAGATTCACCGACGCTCCTGTCCTCTGAGGCGGCAGATGCTGCTGCAGAATCTCAAAGGAAAGAGGCCGGCCTTTCAGATCTGCACGCTCCAAACAGTTCATTGCAAAACATGGAAGTTTGGTCTGTTGCTCTACACTTCAAAATCTGACGTGCTTAGTTCCCCATCACCATCAGAACGTGTCCTTCCACCGTCCTTAAGTTATTCATTTGGATGGAGAATTACGACGGCTGGTTTCCCACCCTGAGGTACATTACTTTCATAATGTTTTGAAGTTATTTGGGGTTTGTTTTTCATCCCAAATCATGATCTTTACATAAATCTAACTAAGCAGTTCAGACAGCAGGCTTTTCTCCTCTTAACAACTTTGAGCCTGTGTTAACTGTAGTTGCAAACATATTCTTTGAGAGCTCATAAACTGAACCAATCTCAGCATGCTTATTGAACGTTGTCGATTATTGCTAACAGGACTGTCGAGCCCTGCAGGAAAAGAAACTCAAGGAGTACTCAGCTGATCATATTTGAAAGTGTTGAGCAACTGACCATGTTGTAGATAGTAAGATCATGTTGTAGATGAGATCATCTGAAGCCCCGCCTCTAATCACACCGACATGTGAAAGAATATAACCGTACAGCAGAGAAGAAGGAAAATAATACATCATGTCAGGGCTTCACAGACATCATCTTGAGTGACTCTTAAAGAGTTTGAACACGGTCAAAGATCCAGTGTAGCTCAAACGAGTCTCATCTCTGTACAGCTCATTGTTGTCCTCTGACAGAGACAATCTGTGACCATAGCTCTACGACACATTTGTCACATTACACTACAGAAAGAAGTGTAACATGACAAAATGTGAAGGTTTTTACTGATGCCAGTCGAACATAAAGATTATTTTGGGCTGCAAATGGGGCTGCGTTCAGACTTTTTATTTTTTACTATAAATATCCATGATTTACTCTTTCCAACTTCACCAATAACATCTACTTTATAACACAAGATAATTGGTTTTAACATAAGTCCCGCCTCTGACAGGGCTGATAGCCAATCACAGTTTGGAGGGGGGGGGGTGTCCCTGGCTGCCCCTCTGGACACACCCCTGGCTGCAAGTCATGCAAAGCTACTCTATAGGTTTGACAGAGTGACAGCATGAAGGGTGAACATATGGATTTTTAAGGTTAGTATAATTTGTTTTGAGCTAGAGAAGAGATTCATGCTACACTGCATGTTTGATTCAGTCTCCATCTTACACATTATAGGGTTTGACAGTCACTCTCTCCACTAAGTATTGCTTAGTTGTTCATGTAGGTGTGTAAGTGTTAAAAAAAGGAAAAGGGATGAAAAAAATAAAAATGTGTAACCTGCACGGGCAGCGATCAAACAAACATTCACATCTATTCATTTCCAAACATTATTTGGCTCAGTTCCCTCTATAACACCATGCGGCAGACAGTGCCAGCACTTTATATTACTTCACTTGATGGCTTTAATGGTGAACGAGTATGGTTTGAATACAGTTCAGTTTTTTTTACTTTTCTTTTGTAGTTTTGGTCATCAAAAGTTGGGTTGCTTAAATGCATTGGGCAACAAAGTCACCAAACAGGCTTTAAAATAATTTTTTTGTTTCTGAGTAACAACACCTGATGGCTCCTGTATCAAAGCGCCCTCTGGTGTCCCAACAATGAAACTGTGGGTACAAAGTTATCACAGCCAAAAGGAAAGATGTCCAAAACGTATTTAAAAAAACAAAACAGAATCTGTTTCTTTGAGACAAAGAGGAAGATGAAGATAAACAGTAATCATGTTGTTCTCTTCTCCACAGAAAGAAAAAAAGAGAGAGAGAGAGAGAGCGAGAGAGCGAGAGATAGAGGGACAGTATTTTATATTACAACAGCCTGCAGGGTCATACAGCCTGACACAATCCCATGTGAGTGTGAGAGTGTAAACCAGTGTGTATGTGGAGTGTTGTCGTGACATGTTAATGAGTGAGTGTGAGATACTGTGTGTATGATTGTCCATCTCCTCCGTACAGGTGTGTGTGTGTGTTATTCATGAGAGACCTGAGAACCAAACATAAAACTCTTCTGCTCTGTCCAAAAAAAACCATGTTGGTTTCGTTCAAATTTGAGCGATAAATGATGTTTAGAATGAACCTGTCACAATCTTTCTAATATGAGAGCAGAGTCTGTAGGCGAGGGGGGGGGGGACTTTAGATGTCTGAAGAATATGTTTTTTTTATTTGTAGTCCAGTGAAAGTGTCTGAGCAGGCGGTTGTATGCAGTATGAAAAAAAGTCCTCATGGAGAGGAAAAGAGGCAGAACTGTTTTGCTTTTGGAGCGCTGACGGCCCAGCAGTTGTTGTTGCACGCCCCATGTACAGAGGCTATAGTCCTCGTCACAGCAGTTGTTTGTTTGAGTCCGGCCTCTGCCCTTTGCTTCACGTCACCCCCCCAACTCTCTCCTCCAAACATTTCCTATCGCTCTTCAGCTGTTCTATCTAATAAAGGCAAAGAGACCTCTCAAGCTGCCTGATCACTTTGTGTTAACGGAACGATATTGAATAACCTGTTAATGTTTTGAATCTGCACGAGCTGCACCTGAATATTCACCATCAATCCCCACATGGCAGATGGTTGACACCCCCACCCCCCATCTGTTTTTCCAGTGTATAAGACGCACCTCTCTTTTAATATCAAATTAAAAACTAAAAAGTGGGCTGCGTCCTTTATACCGACGCAACATATATACCAGTATATAGTGGTGAGACATGCCCTGCCATGACCAAAATCTCAGCTGCCACCATCATCATCTGCACACCACCTGACGCGACTCGCTCCCATTCATCGTGTATTGCAAGCGGCCGCGTGCTGGGATACATAGTTACGCGGACCAGGCTGGCAGCAACGCTTTTAAAGCATCTTTTAACCAACTGCTCGTTGCTGAACACAATGGAAAACATCACACAGGAAGACAGTTTAAACCTTTTCGCCCTCTTAGAGACCCTCACAAAACAGACTGCGACTTATTCACCCATGTGACTTATATATTCTGGATTTTACTTCAGTTGTTCTTGTAGTTTTATCATCTGTAGACATCAAACTTTTCTTCTTTGTTCAGCCAGTGTTTCATTTACTCATAACTTATGAGAGACAAGAGAAAACAGTTTCCTGTCTAGTGTGGCAGATTGACCATCAGAATGTCGACACAACAACCTCGTCGTGATGAATCCTGCAAAAATATTACAGGTTTTGATCTTTGGGCGAGGGGCTCATGTCCATTATGTCGACTTCACAGACTATAGTGTTTAACAGACATGAATGTAACTTTAAATCTTTTAATACTTTTAAATGTAGCTTTCAATAAGTTATAATGTACGTCACCATGTACCTATTGTTATCAAATAAAAACAGGATTTGGATTTGAAAAAACAAAGCCTAAAAGAAAGCTAATGTGTCTATAATAGAAAAGAAAGATTGAAATCTTAACTAGATTAGTTTGTGTCTGTTCAGTGTAGATGATCTCTGCACATCCAGTTCAACACCTGTCCTGTACCTAGGTGTGGACAACCATACATGTGTGTGTGTGTGTGTGTTTGTTTGTGAAGTGCATGTCCACCCTTTGTGCGACCCTGCAGTGTCCTCATAGTCGTGTCTGAGCCTCGGGGATGTAGATTTCGATGCTGTCAGCGCTCTCCGTGGCGGAGTTTTGCCGTACCGATGCGGCTCTCTTGGCCGCCATCAGGCGCTTCCTGGCCTCCTGCCGCTGTTTCTCGGAGCTCTCCAGGGAGCGGTCTCTGGCCAGAGGTGGGTGGTGGTGGGGACCCTTGGGTGGCTTTTTTGGCACTGGAGGAGGGAGCCGCCTCTCCTGGTGGGAGAGGACGTTGGGGGGGGGAGAACATTTCAGGAAAAAGACACACTTCTGTGTGCGTGTGTGCGTGTGTGTGCGTGCGCGCGCGTGTGTGTGTGTGTGTGTGTGTGTGTATGTATGAAGGTGTTTGCACTGTATGTGCCGGTGACGCTCATCTAATGCTTTTAGTTTGATTTAACATGTTTTAATTGCACTGTTGAACAATGTCCTGTATCTAAAACTATACCTGCTCTACATTCCTATCAAAAGCTTTCATGTGCATGCAAGAAGGTATTTAACTATAACAGATACGTTTAGGTAATGTTTTATCTTATGGTACGATCTGTGCCTGAACATGGCTTCAGTTTCCCTCTGCAGACATCCTGCTCTATATTTAACTGAGGTCACACATTTTCTTAATATGAATCCATGTATCTTTAACTGGGAGAATATTTGACCTGTTTTGGTGTTTGGCTGTAATGGCAGAATGCAGGTAAATGTGCCTAACCCAACCATGTCAACTTAAAGTGCTTACAAAAGGAGTTCAGTACTTTCCTTCAGTCACACACGACCTTGCTTTAGTTATTGTTTTTTAACCTGTGTAAACCTGGGAAACTACTGCACATATCAGACACTTCAACATGTATTAGCCTGGTTCCTCCTATGCATGCAAAGGGTTAAATGCTCCCCTAACTGAGCCGCAGAGCAAATAGCATCAGTGTGCATCTCTGTATCTAAATCGCGCTTTTATGTAATAAGTTTTGGAAACACTGGCCCCTTGCTTGCAAATTAGCCTCAATATAAAAAACACCAGCGCTTACAGCCATGCACAGTTAGAGCAGTAAGCTGAGAGTTGGTGGAAACTGCGGCGTAGTATTTAACAGAGACATCATGTGCAAACTTTCCAGTGATCGGGAAAACAATTCCACCAACCGAGTTCATTTAAGCTGTACTTTAACAAACTGCCACCTCATAGTAGGAAACAATCCTCAATAACGTAGAAAGACAAAAGCTCCTTTGGCTGTGCAAAGCATGTGGAAATAGAGGATGAAGTAAATAAATAAGAAAAGCTTTTTCTGATCTCATATTTTGTTTTTTGACATCATGTAAATCTTTGTAGTGAATGAACTTCATTCAACTTGATATTATCTTATTTGAGGTCACCTGAGACTGCCTTGTAAACTGTGAAATGCAAACTGTAATGTATGTATTAAGAAAGGAACATGAGCGACACTCCCTGACGTCACTGTCTTCACTCTGGAAGCAGCGAAACGCACAACAAAAAGCCACTGGTGGTGAGGCGGCGGCTGCAGGCGGCAGCAAGATGAAAGGAAGGAAGGAAGGAAGGGCAGAAGAAAGCATGGAGATATGGATGGAAGGACAGACATTATGGATCTACGGTGGCCCAGAGATGCCAAGGCCCCCGTGGTGCTGTTGGCATTGCAGTTATGCTGATTGATGCGTGGCTGTTTGCAAGCGCCTTCACTGTCGACACAAAAGAAGCACAAGAAAGAAAAAAAAGTACAATAATGAGAGCAAATGAGGAAGCACAGTCAATATTCACAATGATACAGAAGCAGACACAGATGCTGACAGAGCAGGCGATGAACACTCTTAGCTCCGCAGAAAGAGTATCTGTACTGCCGGAAGAACATTTGATACAAGCACACACTGACTCTGCACCATGAGAGAAAAGCTGAGAGCTTCTGTATGCGTGGATTTTTACATTTGCATTGGTGATAGTTGTCGTTTAAAGCTTAGAAAGCCTGATGGATATTGCTGTTCAAAGTTGGTGTGGTGGTTCTTGAAAAACTTCCCTTAACACAATGGCAACAACCTGCTAATGCACAACCAAGCTAACGTTAGCTTCATTTGTGTCCCTGTGGCTGTTCGCTCCGCTGATATCCAATCATATTTATCTGCAAAACCTTTGTGAAGGTTTTATAGTCATGATCTCATCAACAACACACATACTGTGGTATTGAGCAATTGTTTCTGGAATTGCAGAATAAAACTTTTTCAAATCATCACAAGGTCACACGTGTCTACTATTAGCATTAACAGATGATTCTGTGCAGGCTGCAGGGCTTTTTGGAAAAACTGTAAGGGTGTCTATTTCACATGCTGGTATGGTAACTCCCAAAAAAACAGTCAGTGTTGAGATTCCTCTCACTTCTGGGAGTGTCATACATGATGATCAACCAGACAGATAAACTAACAGCTCTTTGCATGTCTCATCTTGTGGACAGCCCTTGTAAAAGCATTTGATTTTCCTTTATAAGATTGGTGTCATGGTGACATTATTTCTGCATATTTTCTTTTGCAAAATCTGTATTTGTGGTTTGTACTGCTGAGATATAAGGAGACTTTCTTGTTACATCTAAAGTGCCAGTAACTGGAGACAGACGGACAGACACTCTGAAACAAAACGCTGTCAGACTCAAGTAGCTGAAGTGAGAGTTAAGTTCATGCAGACACAGTTGCTGTTGTGTGCCTTCAGAGGATGTTATGAGGGAAGACACAGCAGAGTTTAGTATCCTTACATAACTGAATGGGGGGGATGATCGTGGGTTTGAATAAACACCAAATGAGGAGGTGACAAAAAGTAAATCCGTAACAGTATTAACAGTGGAGCAGTGACATATGCCTTTGTATGCAGGGAGCCACTTTCTACATGAGACTTCCATTCAACCCATTCATAGGGCCAGATTTGAAAACTTCCATATGATACAAGTAAAAACTCAAATTATATTAGTACCAGTTTTGATACCACGGCAACAACAATGGAAGTCCAAGGAATCAATATTGAATAATTTCTTGTTTTTAACCACTAAATAATGCCGTTGGTCAAAATGGCACAAAAACAATGCTCTCTCCCTCTGCAGGTTCGGTTCCTTTTTGATACTATAGATCATTAAAATAACAGAAACTGTATTGTTTTGAAACACGTGGTATCAAAAAACTATGAAAAAGTATCATAGTATCAAAAATTCTGATGTTATTTAGAAATGTATCTCATTCATCATAGCCAATGAGTGAACTAACACACCAATGAATTCCTTCAAGATGGATGCTGGTGTTTGTCCAGGTCAGCCTTGTGGGATACCTAAACTTTTGTGTGCATGTGGGGGTCTGGGTGTGTGTGTGTGTACCTTTCTCTCTGGGGGTTCCAGGGGTCTCCAGCCATTGGCTCTGAGCTGATGAAGCTCATCAAACTTGAGGCTTACGTTCTCGATGGACAGCTGAAGCATGTCCCAAAAACCAGCGAGGTCTGAGGCCACAGGGCGGGGGTGGGCGTTCGGGTTCTATTACAGCAGGGGACAGAAAAAATAACAATTAAATCAAAAAATAATGAATTGGCTATCAATTGTTCTCTTTTTGCAAACGATAGTGCCCCCTGAGGTAAATGTGCTTCATCTTTTCAACTAGATAAAATAATAATTAAATGCATTCATCCCACATGCACTGCTGCAGAGGAGCACGCCAAAACATACCAATCATCAAATACTATAATCTGTTTATAAATCAAAGTTTAGTCTATGAAACACACGAGTGTAAGGTGTGACTTTGGTGTTTCCGACTCACCAGGTTCTCCTCACACAACTCCCTGAACTGTTGAAACTTCTGAGATATGAGAAGTTGAGCGCTTCCAACAGCACTCCGCATCTTTCCAAGGACTACAGGAGAGACACACAGTTTAACATCAGACACGGCAACAGCAGTGACAAATCATATTCCTGCAGAGAGACTCCTACAGGTAAAGGTTTATGATTCATGGGGAACAGATGTTCCATTGCTCAGTACTTTTAGCTGAGGAAGCAGTAGACATGATCATCATGATCTGAGAGGTTAGTTTGTCTGACTGTGGATCTTTGGTGTTTTTGCAAAACACAATACAAGAAAAACTTGTTTATGGTTTGAAAGAATTGCGCTGCGTTTGCACCCACAGTCTACTTCACAAAACAAAAGCAAAGGATTAAATGCTCTCCTAACTGTGCTGCAGAGCAAAGAACATCACCATGTGTTGGGGCTGTTTGTGTGTAATTAAATGAGCCATCATGCAGTCATTTGGAGGAAAAATGGCCCTTTCTATGCTAGCTAGCCTGATTGCAAAAACTGTCTGAATCACAAACATTGGCGCTAACAGCCACACACAGTTAGAATACCCTCTGCTGAGAGTTGGTGGTAACTGCGCCGCAATGTAATGAGAGATGTCACACTAAAACTTTCCAGTGATCAGGAAAACAATTCAAACTCTGTATAACTTACAAATAAATGATCTGTAAACACAGTCTGTAAATATAACCAGGGGTTCAATCAGCCCGGGGCTGTCAGAGGTGGAGAGACGCTCTGAAGCATTACTCAGAAGAATTTGAAGGTATTTTTGTTTTCTTTTCTTTTTCAAGTTGTCATTTCTGCTACATCCAGGGAGAAAACTTTGTTTAAAACGATGAAACTCGTATCACATTTGTCAAGTCTGGCATCCCTGAAGAAGTGTCCTCCCTCACGTCCTAGCTCATCATCTTTATGTGGATAGGACTGAGCTCTTTCCGCATGAGAGCACAGCTCCGTGCAGAGTCAAGGTGCAGAGAACTTCTCTCCACAATCACGTTGCACGGAGCAGGACAACTTCTACCAGTACGCACACAACCAGTGCAATCCCTGTGCATGTAATGAAACTGCTGCATTATGGTTTCTGTTGGCCAGTATGTTCTTCTCCGCTCTTTTTTGATTGTGTCGAACTACAGGCAGCATAAAGGTATTGAGGCAAACATTCTCATTATAGCATCGTTTTAGTGCATCGTCCGCCACTTCTATATTTGAAATCTAAATGTCCCACTCCTATAAGCGCAATTTCAAATAGTAAATCTCCTCCTGGTTCTGCTTAGTCCCACCTACACACCCATTGTTCAGCGGCAACCGGTAACCACGAGGACAGTCAGGAGGTGGTCTCAGGAAACCAATGAGCTCCTGCAAGGGTGTTTTGAGGCTACATACTGGGATGTGCTCTGCGAACCCCATGGGAATAACATTGACTCCATGATGGACTGTATAACTGACTACATCTCCTTCTGTGTCAATAATGTGGTACCTACGAGGGAAGTGAGGTGCTTTGCAAACAATAAACCCTGGATCACCAGTGATTTAAAATGTCTGCTAAATAAAAAGAAGAATTCAGGGACGGTGACAGTGAGTTGCTGAAGAGCGTACAGAGGGAGTTGAGGGTGAGGCTGAGAGAAAACAAAGATGCATACAGGAGGAATCTGGAGAGCAAGCTCCAGCAGAACAACATAAGGGATGTGTGGCACGGTATGAAAACCGTAACCGGCTTCAAGGTGAAAGGAAATCAGGCAGAAGGTAGTCAGGAAAGGGCCAATGAGATGAACGTGTTCTTCAATAGGTTCAGTACGAGGCCTTTGGCTACCTCCCCGGCCCCTGATAGCCACACAGACCCTACATCCTCCCCCCTCACAAAGGCCCCCCCCCCTCCCCGCAAGTTACCCCCCAACATGCTCTGACCCCCACCGTGCCCCACCCCTACCCCACACTTCTCTGGCCTGTCTGTCTGTCTCCAGTAGGGTTAGGGAAAGCCTGCGCAGGTCAGCTATGTGGCATTCTACAGCATCTTTTCAACCTCAGCCTCAGCCAGGGGAGGGTGCCAGTGCTGTGGAAAACATCCTGCCTTGTTCCGGTCCCCAATAAACCCTCTCCCTCTGCCCTCAATGACTACAGACCAGTTGCCCTAACATCGCACATCATGAAGGTACTTGAGAGGCTGGTCTTGGCCCACCTGAGACCACAGGTGACCAGCTACCTGGAGCCATTGCAGTTTGCATACTGCCCAAGGGTGGGGGTTGAGGACGCCATCATCTACCTACTCCACAGAGCCCACGCTCACCTAGACAAGTCTGATAGCACTGTGAGGATTATGTTTTTTTTAATTTTTCAAGTGCTTTTAACACCATACAGCCAGTACTGCTCCGTGAGAAGCTGGAGCTGATGCAGGTAGACACCACCACAACATCATGGATCATGGATTACCTGACTGACAGACCACAGTTTGTGAGGCTGGGGAGGTCTGTGTCTGAGCGGGCGGTCAGTGGCATAGGAGCGCCGCAGGGGACTGTGCTGTGCCCTTTCCTCTTCACACTATACACCTCAGACTTCCAGTATAACCCTGAGGCTTGTCACTTACAGAAGTTCTCAGATGATACTGCGGTAGTAGAGTGTATCAGTGGTTGAGAGGAGACTGAATACAGGATGCTGGTGGATAACTTTGTTGCATGGAGTGGGAAGAACCACCTGGTGTTAAATGTAACAAAGACCAAGGAAATTGTGGTGGACTTTAGGAGGGACAGGCCTGAGCTAAGCACCATCTATATCCTTGGGGATGAGGTGCAGGTGGTGGAGTGCTATAAATACTTGGGGGTGCACATGAACAATAAACTGGACTGGAAGCACCACACAGACGCTGTCTACAAGAAGGGTCAGAGCAGACTCTACTTCTTGAGGAAGCTTAGGTCTTTTCATGTGTGTAGCGAAATGTTATCCATGTTTTATCAGACTGTTGCGGCAAGTGCCATTTTCTTTGCAGCCGTCTGTTGGGGTAGCAGCATCAGGGCTTGTAACTCTAAGAAGCTTAACAAGCTGATTAGGAGGGCTGGCTCTGTGCTGGGGGACTGCTGTGGAGCCCCTGGAGGTGGTGATGGGGAGAAGGATGATACAGAAACTGTTTAACATTATGGATAATAACATGCATCCCTTAAACAATCTCGTGTGTGAACAAAAGAGTGTTTTTAGTGGGAGGCTACGGCAGCTGAGCTGCAAAAAGGACAGATTTAAAAATACTTTTTTACCTACTGCAATTGCACTTTATAACGACTCCCCTTTAAGTAAGGACAGAAGACATTTAAACTTTTAAACTTTAGCCTGAGTTGCATATATCATATATCAAACTGTATTGTGGGCTCATGTTTTTTTTGTATGGGTGGGATATGTATGTATATATGTGTTGTGTTGTGTGTTTGTATGTATGCTGGCTGCTGGAACACCTAAATTTCCCTGCTGGGATGAATAAAGTATATCTTATCTTATTTATCTTATCTTAAATAAGTATTTAGAATTCTGATTCCGCTTCATTTTTGTTACATCATATCTTTCTTCCTAGGACCCCCACTCCCTCCATTTCATCAGGGATCGTCTCCTGCTGTTAGGGACATACACAAAAAAAACAACTCAAGGAGATTTCATGGGCAGTGTAGCTGAAATTTTCTCGAAATGTTCAGGAGTGCATGTGTGAAAACAGCTAGAGACGGATCGTTTTGGGCTGCCATGGGAAGCAATCAACTAGAGCAATCCAAAAAATATTAAAACATACAGTCTGACTCTGTAACATGTAAAAAATACAGCAAAGTTTTAAGTTTCCCACTTCCCCTTTAAGTGTTGACTTGACAAACACACACACAAACCCTTACTATCTTCTGGCAGTTCGTTGTCCCGCTGGTCGTGCTCCATCTGTCGACACCAGCCATCCAAACGGTCGGTCTCTGCCTGCAACAGCTTCAGAAACCAGCGTCCGTCTCTTTGACACACCGACCGCTGCACCGCCTGCCGTTCAAAAACTCAGACTGTAAAACATGTAGAGACTCCTCCTGCAGAGGAACGACTGTGCAGCAAAGCCAGTGAAGTGAAACAGTTTGATTTGTATCTCCTGCACAAGGACGAGGAGTCAGCATCCAGGCACTGTGATACACAATCCTGCTGCTTCAGTTGGTCATAAAAATGATGAAACAAACAAAACAACTTGACAGGGAGACATTTAAATACATTTAAATATGCTTTAGGCTACTTAAATGGACACCTGTGAAAACAGATTCACTCTAAAATTTCAACAAGCATTGTGCCATGAAACAGTTTTCTGTTAGTTTTTTTAATGGTATAATCCAAATCACAATCTGTCAAGAAACGGGTGAGGGTATGGTTAGAAACCATAAAAACCAGGAAAGGGGAGGAGAGCGGTCTCCATTGGTTGCAAGAATGTGTCTTTTGTATAAAAATCTATAATAGAATGACTGACAAAGCAATGTGTGTCTGTCCCAGTTTAATAATCTAAGAATATGTGACTGTAATGTGTCACCATAAATCAATTTAAATGTCGACTGTTATCTTGTCAAAGGTAAACTAATTTAACATGGTCGCCCCCGTGAGTGTTGTTACCAGGCAAAAATAAACGAGCAAGAAAACATTGTCTTCTTCTTGTGTTTAGACGTAACAATGTGTTGAATTTTATTAGACTGTTTACATCCAAATATCTAAATTAATTAAAAATGGACTAAACCTATGCTGTATTTTTTTTTGTCGAGTTCTTACATTAGCTCAAACATTTCCGACAGATATCACAGCGAGAGAAATCTGTGATTTTATAGTTGTAACGGGGCGTGTCTTGTCGTGGCAGCTGCCGTGATGAGCCGCCATGACAGACACGGTGTGATAATCGAGGATGACTGGGAGTTGGAGTGATAAAAGTACCGTCATGCTTAAAACCTTCCAGTGTTCATGACAAAAGTTCCAACTCTGGGTAATGTTATTTTTAATTATAGATGTATCATTAAGGGTAAGATCAGTCACTTTGGATCTCTGAACATGATGACCGTGCTGCTGTCTCAATCCAGGGAGGAACATTTTAAAAAAAAAAATACCTGCAGGACTCTTATTTGAGCTGTTTGGTGCTGGGAACTGGAGGTTAATCAACTCTCAATGCTGTAACTAAAAACAGATGAATGATGCAGCTTAAGTTTATTAAGTTTAAGGGACTTCACGAGATGACTGGGACTCCAGAGTCAGTGATGTCCTTATGTTAGGTAATCCCTACAAGCAGTTTTTTTCATATTACACATACTTTCTAGAGAATTAGGAAAGCCTAAAAAGTGAAATGAATGCTGTGATGATCCCATCTTGAACCTCCCTGCGTCTGTTCTGAGCGGGCTCCCGCATACCTCGAGAAGAGAAGAGGTGTGGAAGTTGACATCGAGCGAGTCGTCGGTCACACTGTCTATCCAGGGGTCTGGAGGGGGGAGGATGGACGGGTCGAAGCCCACATCGTCGTAGTCATCAGAGGTGCAGGCATGGTAGTGGTTCCCTGAGCCCTGGATGCTGACGGTGGACGTGGCAGCATCGCGCGAGTACTGTCGAGAAAGGGCACCGGACGACAGGACCTCCACGTCCGTGTCCGAGTCTAGAGGGGTGTCCATCGGGTCGGGCAAGTCCAAATCTGCCTGGAGAGAAAAATGTATCCACCTCAGTACCTCTCTCAATGTGAAAATGTTTGTTTGAGGGATGCAGTGCTTTTATTTTAATAACAGATGTCTCATCTCAAGGTGGTGGCGATTTCAGCTGAATTTTAAGTCAAATCAGTTGTCAGATATTTTGTTGCATAATTAAAAAGTCCCCTGGATGTAACGGAGAAGGCGTGTTATTAATCAGCAGAAGCTTACCTGTACAGCGGCCGTCACACTGTTGGAGCGCTGGAATCGACGATACCTGACCACAAGAAGAAGAAAAACAGTGAGTACAATACAGAGAGATTATTCCACCTCCACTCCCAGACTGTTCAAAGAGTCAGGATTTATTTTATGATGAAATTATGAAAATACGGTAAAAATGTCCTAATAAAGCAGCACTGAAAAATGGGGTCCTCTCTTGGTTCCAGACCTGGGACTGTCTGATGGACAGGCCTTGTTCCCTTGAGTCTGCTCTGAAACAGTCTGACAGAACAAAATGCGATCCTTTGGCATCAGTGTATCGGTATCAGCTCAATGTCATGATTTGGTTTCTTATTTTGTAGATTTTCTTGTTGTATTTAGTTCTCATTCTTCCCTGATGGTGTTGTTTCCCTTGCGTGTTTTCTAGGTTAGTCTTCAGTGTTTCATGTGTTATTGGGCTTGAATCTCTCCTTTTCACAAGTTTTCCTGCACAGGGCTCTATGGGTGCTGAAAATCACAAGCCCCCCATGGTACTGGAGAGGAAACGTTCAAGGGTCTCCAGAAATCTGCCAGGACGTCTCTGCTTTTGGATTTCATATGTAAGCAGGGAAGCGGGGAGTAGGGCTGCTGAGGTTGCTGCAGAATCTGCCTACATCAGGCTTAAAACCATCAGCTTATTACCAACATTTATAAAACCCGTTTTATATTTAATACACTTTCTGCAGAGTGACACAACTCACAGCAGGTGAGTGTCAGAGGTTTTTTGATACAATCAAAGATATCAAAATGTAAAATTTAAATAGGCTACAAACATATAATGTTATGATGTTGTCCATACTAAACCTCTGCAATGTTTTTTTTAACACAAGACACCGTGTTGTTGCCGTAATCTTCAGATGTGGTTTCCTGCATGGTTTCCTGTTATGGCTCAACCCTTCGTCTATAAGAGTGGAGTGCCGACTCAAATGAGTCCCGCGGTAATTTTACAGATTAACTCGCAACAGCGATAAAACACATCAACAAACACACATACGGTCATTGTCTGAACAGTCAAAACTGTTTTTTATTCAGCGTTTTATTCTGAAAATAAATCACATGTTTTAATATTGTTTTGGTGTCTGACTTCCTGTCCCACTGGATCTTTTCTGTGCTAAATTGATGTGCCATGCTCCAGCATCCAGCAAAAATAAAAAGCCTTTTCGATCTGTTGCAGAGGGCTCCATACCGCTGGAACGGGGACAGAGCTGAGACGCAGCACAGCAGAGCCAGTGAAAACACACAAAGCATGCAGCAAAGTTGTAGGAGATGTCTGGTGTTTCTCCCTTACTATGTCAAAAACATACATTTAAAGGAAACAGGTCCGCACATACTACGACGAGGTGGAGGGACAAGAAACAAAACCCTATAAGAGATAGTGCTGCACAGAGAATCAAGATTTATATGAAAGGCTTCTCTCAGCACCTTCCGGAGTCCTCCTATAGAAGTTTATGTACCGACAAGCTGGAACAGACAGATCTCTGGAGTCAGTGAAAAGTGTTCTCAGTCACAGTTATTGGAGTTCATCACGGAGGATAACCTTGGCTGAGGAGTGTGTGGGTGTTTGTTGTGACCAGAGAGAGAGGAATAATGACATGACAGCCGGAGATGACTCAGCTACACTTCCTGCTTCAGATTAATATTAGTTTGAATTATCATGAACTCATTCATCTTGGTTAAATGAATGTTAGTCTGTTTAAGTCTTAATATGCTGCAGATGTGTGGTTTCTATCAGTATGTGGGAGTCAGTCATGTTCAGTTTGACGTCAGTCACTACAAATTGAAAATTCAGCTACATATGTTAGCTGGGGTGTATACAGGATTTCTGGGCCCCATGAAAAAGAATGACATCGAGCCCCTTCCCCATAACTGCAGCCAACCCTGAGATATTGTTAAAACCAAACCTCAACAGATGAACCATTATAAGCTTCAAAGGTCACATATTCTCTTCCTTTTTAACAAGTTTAAATAAATGTTATATCCTGATCCTGTGTTTTATCATGCTTATAAACCTCTCTATTTCAGCCCTGCTCAGGGTTCAGTTAATCAGTTCCGCTGTGTTGCTGACTCTAAGATGCAGGCTGGCACTAATATCTGACCTCTTTTTTCTTTACCGTCTCAAGAGTGTCTTCATTTTGAACTATGAGTGACCATGCAGGTGGACATGAACAGGGACTCTAAAGGGGGAAAATACCACCATTCAGAGTCCGGAACAAAATCAGGTTTAACGTCAAGTAGGTTTAGGCAAAAAAAGGAATTTGTCTCAGTGTTTTAGGTGCAAAAACAATGAACATAAAGTAAGCTATAGTGAACAGCAGTACTCCTAATGGCAGTGTAGAGAGTCAGGGTGGAAGATATGGTGGTGCTCATACACACTAGCTCAGGTCTTCCTTTTGGGAAGTGAAAGATCCGGCCAAGAAGGACGGTGTTGTACCCAAGAAGCTTTGAGAGGTCAATGGAATAAAAACGCTAAAATATAGTTAATACAAGCATTCTCGCTAATGTTCAACAGGTCAAAGTGATGGTAGTGTGGAGTGTTAAAGCGGGGTAAACACCAAAAAATCAGGTCGATTTTTTGGCACAAATTCCCCCTTCTGACAAAGTAGTTCTAAAGATAATGTTGCCTGATGTTCCTGTGGTATGACGTTTGTTAAGAGCGATACGATCTGCTCATGAGAACGTCCAGGCTGCCCCGATTTCTCATCATCAATACTAAATATGTTCAGTGTTTATAATCATATTTCTTGTTGTGTGGAGGACCCCAGAGCACGCACTCGAACGAAAGGAAAGCAAACGGTTTGCCCAAAGGCTACAACTTTCCTAGACCAGACTCCATGGATGAGGTGATTGATGATCCATTGACAGGATATTTGCTACATGAGTTCTATGTTGAGGACTTTCTGCAGCAGATTGTTAATCTCGATTTATTTTATCTCCTACTTTAACCTCTGGAAACACACCAGTAAGATGGTTTCTGTTGCCAGTATCAACAAAGATATCAGAAGATGAAACTGGTTTCAGTGTTCTTACAGACACCTTTGTTTAACTTTGATTGACTCTGTCATTTATTAATCCAAATAGGAACGTAAATTGATTTTACATGCTTGCCCTGGAACCGTGTCCTGCTTTTGCAGACACTCTGCAGTTATTAAAGGGTCAAATATTCTGAAAAATGTCAAAGGAAAAGAAAAAAGTTTGCCTCACCCTCTGTCATCCTCCACTTGAACCCCTACAGAGGTAAACTTAGACGGGTCCTCTGGATCTGGATCGTCCTCTGGTCCATCCACCTATAGCAGACAAACAGGATTAAACCCAGGACACTCTAACAAATATGTCTGAAACACATGTTTTTATTTTAATGTAGCCTAAGGGTTAACCATGACTTTGTATGTCTGACTGGTTTGACTGACAGGTGGATGTGATGTAGCTGTTTGTCAGGAGGCTTAAGCTCTGTTTCGCACCTCGAAGCAAATTCATATGTGCAACTTATAACAAGAGTCAATGGAGGCCTGGAGTGCTAATTTTAGCGCCCAAGGCCAGAAACACGTTGCCAATCGGTAACTTTAGAGACGTAGAACATTTTAAATCTACATTGCAAACAGGTCCAGTTTAATGTGTGTGTATGGTTCAAACTAAGTAAAATATATATTTCATGAAGGTCTGTAAGTCTCCATGTGGGAAGTGGCTGGGTGGTCCTCTAGTGCCCTCTATTGACCAGCTGCCACTGGTATCCTCTGTGTCTCTCCACCTCTGACTTCAGCCTCATAAATACCTGGATGCCTATGGAGAGACATTTCCCCTTCCTGAAAGCTTCTTTCCTGTAGTCATCCCGGTGGATTTCAACGACTGGCCCCCTGGTCAGGATGGGTGTGGGGACGTTGACCGTCATGCTGTTGTTGCTGTTACTGACGTGCTGGCTGGCTGGTCCATGGATCTACATGGACAAATAAATTAAAAGAGACATTACGTGCAATTTAACGACAGACTTCAAATGCTGGTTTGCATAGCAACAAAAACAATATAAAGCACCAACCTGTGCGTTAGCAGCTTCTATAGCAGCTGTCAGAGCCTTCATGCTGTCGATGCTCTCTGTGGAGTTACTGAGTCCCGACTGAATGGTCATGTCCCCTCTGGGCCCCTCCTCTTCCATGTATGCATCCTGGTTCATTAAAATAGAAAACAATTCTTTTAAGACATACATTTGTACCCAAGTCAAAATGTTTTCAACATCATTTTCTCACATTAAATTAGCATGATTAGTATGAAGTTCAAGCTTGATCTATTTATTTGATTCCTATCCTGCTGTCAGTCTCACTTCCCCTCCAAGTGCATGAAGACACTATGACAAAGTCTTAGGTCTCTCCTGATTAAAATATATTTAACCTTTTAAATCATCAGGTATGTTAGTGTTGGAGAGAAGGTGACCTCAATGGGTTAATCAGCTCTTTCTCTTTCTTTTTTTTTTAAGATTTATTTTTGTGCCTTTATTTGATAGGACAGTGGACAGAAATTGAAATCAGGAGAGAGAGTGGGGTATGGTGGGAAATTAGCCACAGGCTGCACTTGAACCCGGGCCATCCCTACATGGGGCGTGACCTAACCACTAGGCCATCTGCGCCCCAGTTACTCAGCTCTATACCAAGATCCCTTCAGATTAAATAAATTCCATTGTAGTATGGAAGACTTTTAATCTTCAGTATATGACCTCCCTCACTCTGTGCACAACTTTTCAAAAGTGTGATTCATTAGCCCTCATGGTTACTCTTCTTTTACTATTACTGCACATGAATAGGATTCTCCTTATTAGAGTTTTTGCCCCCCAAAAAGTATACTATAAAAACACTAGCAGAACTATTTCTCCACCGGGCGAGCCTCAGGACACATCACCAACTCCTTTAGGAGAAATTGCCACCCAAATTCTTATATTTTTTAACCAATCAGATTAATTTGATGATGCAGTTTGGACCTCAGACACATTCTTTTTTTCCAGGCAAACATTCAAACCCACTTTAAACAGCACCGCGACCCACTTTTGGGTCCCGAGCCACCAGTTGAGAGCCAATGCACTAACACATAAAAACCATACACAGTTAAAGTGAAAGTTAATCACAGAGTTTGAGGTAACTGAAGCTCATTATTATGATCATTTAACCCTCCCGTAACCCAGAAAATGTTAAATGTCAGTAAATACAGTTAACTCATGACATCATTCTTATAATTAGGACATAAAGCGGTGTGGAGATTGCTCTTGAGCTGTTTCCGGTGGCACAAAATAACAGTTATGACGTGGTCCTAATGGCTGCTCCAGGGCGTAAAACCACTGACACTGAAACTAGTGGCACAGTCATCGAGTTCAGGGCTCACAATAACTGGTTAAAGAGCCAACACATCTCCTCTCAGCTCATGGAGTTCCTGCAGGCTGAAACTAAAAGACACATAACAAGGGTGAGTGGCACTAAACAGCAGATCTTTACATCTTCAGTAAGTCTGACCTTGAAACGGGACAGGAGCTGATAGTTTTGTACGAAAAGGACACCATGTATGTCACTGCAGCAGGTGTTGGTACTTTCAGAACTGAGTTGGTGTTATTCTTTGTAATCCACACGACCTGAGCTGCGGGGAAAAGCTCTCCACATTTCAAAGTGATTTCAATGTGTGAATAAACCCTCAGGACACTTTCACCCTCACCCATAATGTCCATAATTTTGCAGAGAGGTGTTCTGATGGTCTGTAACTATATCAGGAAGGGGGGTGGGGTGTAAAACAGTGCAGTACCTGTGCGGACTCTGTGCTGCTCTGGGCGGTGATGGAGATGTACGGCTTGGAGGATGTGGAGCAGGTGGTGGTCCGGGGCGGAACGGGTGGAGGCGTTTTCTTATAGGTGGTGATGCAGGATGAAACTACACAGAAGTAAAAAGAGGGAGGGGAAAGAAGAAGGAAAGACCATGTGTTAAATTCTTATAATATATAAGTTTGACTTGCAGACATTGTACACAACTGTTCATAACACAGGACTGTAACTGTTTATAAGACTAAGGGCAGACGATCGGGCATATTTCATATTGCTCCAACCCCTCGTCAGAGACGGGCTGTTTTCCAAACCGCCTCTTACATACTATTATTGAACATAGCATGTACTGCATACATGCCCGGGCCTGTCTAGGCTGTTTTCTAATCTTAGAATGAGGAAGTAAACAACAGTCCAGCTGACGGCAAAATCCTCTACAGTGTAAGCCACTTACAGTATGAAAGAAGCTGACAAGAAAGTTATTCATGATTTTCATGATTTTGAGAATTAAAAAAAAGATAATTTGTCGCATCTTTGCGTGGTTTGGTCTGATTGTGATTATTTCCTCTGCACTGTAACGATGGCCGTAGCCGTCTGTCATTTCCATCTCTGACCTGGAGCCTTGCATTGTGGGAAACAGAATGTGAGGGAGACTGGTCTGATGCGAACTGTACATTTATTTTTACAAATTACTCATACACATCTGGGTTATTTGGCATACAGTGACATCTTGACCAAATCAGTACATACTACTAGTACATTAGCCAGTTTCAAAAACAGCCTATGACAAGTGTTTTTGATTTCCAATGACAGCACTTGCTGATCTGTTATTTCTAACTGCATTACATGGTGGTGGCACTGTATCATAATCAGTCCAGTACACCAGAAAAGGCACTGCCAGAACTGCCCAAGAGGAAGAGAGTGATAGAAGAAGATGAAGAAGAAGAAGAAGAAGAAGAAGTGAAAAGTTTTCTAAGGACATGTTGATAAAAATCGAATCAAAATGAGGTCAAAACTCTTAAATGCCAAAAAGACCAGAATTTGAGGTGGATAATCAAGTTCATGATGAAAAAGTCAGGATTCAGTCAACAGGTCATAGAAACAGCTTGACATTTAAAAAAACTGTTTTCCAGGACTGGGATGGTTTGGTAAAAGGCTTATCTAATCGTGGACTTACAACCAGGGTGTTAATTGTCAGCCTGCCTTTGCTTTGTCTAAAGGTTGTGCTCAATAGTCGACGGCAACATTTCAAAAGATTGATATTTCTAACAGGTGTTACGGCTGCAGAACAAATCAGCTCGACTTGCGCTGCGACCTTCACAAGGACACAAGCTCTGAGGCTTACTCCTCCTGAAAACAAACGCCAAGGCTGCACAGGCGTGTGAGAGTGAGTGAGTGTGACAGAGGGTTCAGTGCGATGAACATGATCCTAACAGACGAGAGGACCAGGATGCAGAAAGCCACGCTGATAAAACCGACTCTTTATTTCTGTGAATGGGCCGGACCATGCGTTCTTTCCTGCTGAGAAGTATTCAGAAAATGCCCAAAAAGGCAGAAGTCAGGATTAAAACGACTATTTTATTTATTAAACGGTTGTGTTCAATAAGAGACTGGTCGTCATGTATTCTGTTATAATTATTCTGCCTATTCTGGTTGTTGTTGAGTTTATTATCCCCTTTTCAACATAATTGATCAAATAAGCAGCACAGTGTCACTGCCACTCATGAGGCATGAATATGATTCAATTGTTGAAATTCTAATTTGTTCCATTTCCAGAATTTACAAGAAAACACCCACCGATTTTATTTTTTTCAAATGGCATCCTGCTGACAACAAAACTGTTTACAAGTGTAAGAGACAGTGAAAGTGAATTCCCCTAATATGATGAAATCAGGATCATTCATATTAATGTCAGGTGAGAGAACAGTTGAGGAGAAAGACGTGAACTTCTCTAATACTGTGTGAAATCTGATATTCATGCAGGAAGTACCAGACATTAACTAGTAATATAGTTAATAGTTAATAGTTTTCTGTGCTGTGCTGTGTTCCCAGCACAGCACAGAAACAGCTCTCCTCAAAGTCACCAACAACCTCCTCCTCACCTCAGACTCTGGCCTCCTCAACATCCTCATCCTCCTCGATCTCACTGCAGCCTTTGACACCATCAGCCACAATATTCTTTTATCCCGCTTAGAACACTCACTCAACATCACTGGCACTGCTCTTTCCTGGTTAAAATCCTACCTCACCGACAGACAACAGTTTATCAACATCAATAACTGCTCCTCCTCCATAGCTCCTTTGTCCCAAGGCGTCCCCCAGGGTTCGGTGCTTGGTCCCCTCCTGTTCACCATATACTTGCTCCCCTTGGTAACATTATCCGCCAGCATGGTCTCCATTTCCACTGTTATGCCGATGACATCCAGCTCTACATCTCCACCAATTCAATCACCACTGAAACCCGCTCTACCCTAACGAACTGCCTCAATGAAATAAAAATGGATGCACACCAATTTCCTCTCTCTTAACTATGCAAAATCAGACATAATAATTATCGACCCTAAATCCCTCACAACTTCCATCCACAACTTCTCCTTCACAATAGACAACTCCACTCTCTCCACCTCCCCTCATATCCGCAATCTTGGAGTCATCTTTGACAGCCAGCTCTCCTTTGACCACCACGTCACCCAGCTCACAAGAACCGCCTTCTTTCACCTCAAAAATATAGCCCGCCTCCGTCCATTACCTCATTTTCTGCCGCTGAAACACTAATCCATGCATTCATCACATCCAGACTCGACTATTGCAACAGCATCCTTTACGGCACATCATCCAAAGTCCTTAATAAACTTCAATACATCCAAAACTCTGCTGCACGCCTCCTTACCCACACCCGAATACGCGAACACATCACCCCTGTCCTGCAAAATCTCCACTGGCTCCCTGTCCCTCACCGTATCCAATTCAAAATCCTTCTCTTCACACATAAAGCCCTTAACCACCAGACCCCCTCCTACCTCACGGCTCTCCTTCACCCTCACACTCCTGCACGCAGCCTCCGTTCCTCAAAAGCCAACCTTCTATCTCCCCCTCTTAGAACCAAGCACCGAACCTGAGAGGACAGAGCCTTCTCCATAGCTGCCCACTCCCTCTGGGACTTACTCCCCACACACATTCAACACTGCACCGACCCTCCTACTTTCAAATCACTTATCAAAACTCACCTCTTTAAACAAGCTTTTAATGTATGATTGTGATGTATTTTCTGTTTTCTGTAGTTTACCTTTATGTCGTTATCTTTATTGTTGTTATCTTTATGATTTGTGTGTAATGCTGCAATGTCCGTTAGTCTGTCCTTCTGTGCTATTCTTTATGTTTTAACCATTGTAAAGTGTCTTTGAGTTTTTAAAAGCGCTTATAAATAAAATGCATTATTATTATTATTATTATTATTAATATGAAAGAGCATAAAAACACACCAGAATATAAGAATTTAAGCTTTTGACCCTGAACATTTCCTGGGGTATCAGGGAGCCAGTAGCCTTTTGGTTATTGCCCGCGCCCCATGTACCGAGGCTGTAGTCCTCCAAGCGGGCGTCCCAGGTTCAAATCTGACCTGTAGCCCCTTTCCCCACTCTCACTCTCTCTCTCTCTCTCTCTCTCTCTCTCTCTCTCTCTCTCTCTCTCTACCTTTTGACTACTGTCTTGGCTCTCAAATAAAGGATAAAAGGCATAAAATAAGAACAAAAAATCCTGGGTGGATTCTGTTTCAGCCTTGATCCTTTTTTGACATTGGTGGCGTCGACTCGTGTTTCTTTTGCACTGCTTCCAAGTCTTATGTAAAAGCACTTTGCAGCCTGATGAAGAGTGCCAAACAAATCGACTTTGTCTTGAGGAGAGAGACTCAAGGCTTCCTCAGACGCTTGCTTGCATAACCACTACTTTTTCAACCCATGTGTAGGAGGTCAGGTTGTATTGAGGGTAATGCTGGGGGGCTGGTTATGTTAAAAGAAGAGCCTGTTTTATGACTCTGCTTGGCTTTGCTTTTACAACTGCTTAAGTTGTACTGAAGGATTTAATCACTAATTCAGTGCACTTTAAACTCTCTTTAAAAATGTGTTGTTGTTGTTGTTTTTGTAAAACTCTTGACGGGAGGGAATCAGTGAGTGAAAGAACCTCCACCGTCGGCACAAACACAACAGCACAACTTGCCAGCGTCTTTCTGTCTGCTTCATTTTCTTCTGCTAACTCCGGGGTTGAAATGTGATTTGCTCTCCGATTAGATTAAATCCTTCAGCTGATGAGTAAATTCTATTTTGCAGTGAACGAGATACGAGAGGAGGGAAACATTAGCTTCATGACGGTTATCCTCAATCAATTGAACTATAATTTATTTAGTCGTGTGGATAAGTGAAAACCTGTTTGGAGAATTGTCGCTTTGAAACCAGAGAAAGTCCTCAGCAGGCCCACTGTAACTAAGCATGCACAGATCCAGATCCAGATCTGTCTCCATCTTAGGACACTAAGACACTCCGCTTTTTTTCATTGAATCCTTATCTGCATCGTTTGATGATCTGTAACCACACTTCTTGTTTAGCCAGTGGCTCCAGAAAAGCTCCTAAAAAGACATGAAATGGCATTTATTCATGCTTGTGTGTCCATAAATAACATGAGGCCTGAGGGGGGATAAGCTACCTTGTTAGTTATGCAGCTAGCAGCAGATGAATCTAAATATCAATGCCCTGCTGGAAAGAAAACAGAAAGAAAAACAATAGCCAGCCGCACGCAGCAATCAAAACAACGAAGCTGTAGCTTATTCTCTCAAATGTTAACTTTTTATTATCATCAACACACGGACGGACACGACTGATCGACATCATTGTGGACTTTAGAGAGATACAAGTGGCACATTGATCCGTCTTGATGTGAAGGAGAAGAACTGCATTGATTCATCTTGATCAGTTCTAATAAAAAATATCAAACACTTTCTTGCTTTCTGTTCTTTCTTTTGGGTCAAACCTTTTGTATAGAACTGTATGTTTGACCAAGAAAAAAAGCTATTTAAGATGTTACTTTGTGCTGTGGGAATTTATGGATGAACATTTCTTT